TATATTGTATATTCTAATATATACTTCCATGACATACAGTTTAATGACATGTTTTGTAAAGCTGAACTGAGAATATATTTCACTGCCAGGTATGGAACAGCAGCTGTGTTAAATGGGCTTGTTCACAAGTGTGCCTTTAGGGGTTCCTGTACTGAATAGACAGCACATGGCAAGTTCTGCTGCACAGTTGTCAATCAATGATGGGACAAAGTCTTCTTCTATAGCTCATTGGGGGCTATAGTAATCAGGCAGGTTGTTATCACTGAACATAATTAATAACAAAATATATACAGAAAAGACATAATAAACTTATTTTAACTGGTATTATTTATTTATTGTTTTGTATTTTATTTCATTTATTTGTATGTATTTATTTTTATGTATTTTATTTATTTATATTGTGTTTATTGTATTTATTTTATTAACATATTTATTTATTTTTATATAATATTTTATTAGATTATTCAAATGTTTTAATTGTATTGTATTTTCTATTTTTTTTTAGATAATTATGTATGTATGTAGTATGTATATGTATTTATTTCTTTATTTATTTCAGACAATTGACTTTGAAGGTTTCCAGCTGTTTATGAAAACGTTCCTGGAAGTCGAGTTACCGGACGAATTCTGCAAACACCTCTTCATGTCATTTGGGAACAGATTCCAGACTCCCAGCCCGTCGATGCAGAGCAAGTCTCAGCTTCTCTCCGGGGGTAAGGCTTCCAACCGTCCGAAGGCTGTCATGGTGTAGGTCCTATGTGGACTTTCTCATTTTTTTTTTTCATGACAGGTTCCCTTTAAATTCCGATTGTCAGCGCGCCCTGGCAGACACGCATGTCAAAGAGAGCCATGCGAGATGCAGCCGGTTTTACGTCTGCAAAACATACATGTCGGGGCGATGAATAAACGGTCACTCTTTCCCATTTGTCATTGCCGCAACAATTATTCCATCCCGTCCCCGCAGTTATGACACCGCCCGATAGACCGATTGTCTTTGCCAGCTCCATCCGCCGCGCCGTGAAATTGTAATTACACGTTCCTGTTATGTCAATCCTGCAAAGAGACAAAAGACGTCTTGCCGCTGTCAGGTGATAAACACCGGAGATAATTCGCCGCACACGTCTTGTTGTACCACAGCGTGCTCGGCGCATTATGAGTGCGGCATCATTGAATCATCATTGCGTCTGTCGATGTTTGGAATGTTTGATTGTTTGCAGGGCCGGTGCAAGGATTTTAGCCTACATAGGTGAAGGTGGATTTTTGCATCTAACCCCCCACCCTTAGTTGGCTGCCTATACATCCTTGCGCTAGTACTAGCCTGGACCACATTGCTAGGGTGTAACATGGTCAAATTGCAACCCCCCCTTACCTTTATCGCAGGGTTCATCTCCCCAGAGGCTGCTTTATTTTTTTTTATGTTGTGCGGCTCTGCGTGGCTCCACCAGTCAGGTCATCCATACCGTCTGCCATCTTTTTTTTCCTCTTCATTGCTGAGAGCAATAGCCAGCCTGCTATTGGATATTTCAAAGTGCAATAGCCAATAACAGGTTGGCTACTGCACCCGCCCACAGCATGCTGTCAATCAGCAGAGGAGGGACCTGAAGCTCTTCATCAGGTCCACCTCTGCTGATTGACAGCAGGCAGTGGGCGGGTGCAATAGCCAGTTCCTAATCAAACCCAAAAATGTTGTAATAAATGCACTTAAGTTAATTTTGGTGCCCAAAAACACAATATAACGTTGGAAATACAACAGCTTATACTAATGTGCTGTTATGTCTTTGGGGCACTAGATGGCGCTGTGGTGCGGTGTTGGTCTTATGTATGCTTGTGTGTGATACACAGGAAGTTCTATCTGTATATACTGTATATGTTTTCTTTTCTACTATTCCTGTATTCTGATGTAATGTCCTGCTAAGTAAAACGTAATTCAGCATTCCTCAAGATCTCAGTGCTTCATCTAAACACATAACCACAATATAATACCCACTTTTTTGTGAAATATAAAAAATGAGGTTACAATGAGTAAATAGGTACCCAACATGCTCAGGTTAAAAATTGCAGTCATCTGTTAAATAGCAACAAAACACGGCACCCCAAATTGTACATAGGCGACGCTTTAAAAGCCCGTACAGGTCATCAGTTTAGAGATATCTTTGAATATTGGCCCTAGAATTATTGTTCTCACTCTGGCACACACGGCGGTACCTAACATGTGTAGCACGATTGTGTGCTTACGATTATGCATGCG